GGTGGGGGCGGGGGTGCAGTTCGCTGGCCTGTAGGTGGCTGGCTGCGTATTTTGGCATGTTTCTGGCTACCTGACCCGGGTTTTGCGGGCCACTGGGTGTCTGTCTGGATTCCGTGTTCGGTGTAATTGGGCTGGTATGCCAAAACCTGTGGAGCCGGCTTCTTTCTGCGGGGACTCAGGAAAATAAGTGTGAGGCTTGTAAAAGCGATGCCGTCTCTCTTTTTGTTGGCAGCAGACTCTGGGGAAAAAAAAAATGTTCTTTTAAAGAACTGAAGTTTTCCAGCCTGGGATGTTCAGAGAAATCATACTGAAGTGACCTGAGGCTCCATGATTGTTTGTTTGGTTTTTATTTATTTATTTTATTTTGTGTTTTCAGACCAGAGGCGTGGTTGTACAGGAAGGGGATGATTCCATTTGGGGCAACAATCTAGCCTTTCTTTTCATCCACGGGTGTCTGAGGTTTTAAGAAGCCCACAGTTACCTACACTCTTTGGTGAGGAAGGAGAGTGAAGTAGAGGTAGATGAAATTCCAGAACATCAAATGCTACTTGATGGAAATCTCCGAACCACACACACACACACACACACACACACACACACACACACACACGCAAGTTTTTAAACCCTGTGGCTTACTTCTTTAGGGAAATAATCCATGCACTGCAATTCCAGTACAAAAAGAAAGAAAAAAAAAAGCCTCTAGGTATCTGGTGCCATTGTAATTGATTTGTTTTCAAAATCTGTTTTCAGAATCTGATAGCATTTTCTCTACAGGATATACATGAATTCATGACACCCCTCTGGTCCCTGTTTGGAAGGGCACGGTGATTTCATTTGGACCTCCCCAACCCCTGTAGACCTCAACCCAGCTCTTTATGTTAATGTGCAAGGACCAGTAGATAGGAGACAGTGCTCTGTGATTGTGGAATTTGAGAGAATTCTCTTTGCTCTAAGATTGGCACTGTAATATTTATTGCTGTGGCATCTTGAGGGTTCTCAGAGAGCTTTTCTGCTCCCTGTTAACCTGCATTTTAGAGATGGCATGGCCGAAGTCGAGGGATTATTCTCCTGGATTACACTTGCTCCATTTTTAGTGACCAAAAAGGATGCTAATGATTTTTCTTGTCAGCTAATTAATTTGCATCGACCTGTCCATACTCTGCCGCCAGTCCCCCTTGCCTGGATTAGGATTGCAGGGCAGATGTTGTAAAGGGGAACATTCCAGAAGGTTGTGCTTCGCCTCAGGCACAATTTGGGCCACCCGGAGGTCCCCTTTGTTCTGCGGATGGGAGTTGGGGGTGGTTTAGGGCCATTTGGTTTGCTTTGCATGGTCCCCGTTTGCTCTGGCTGGCCTTGCCCATACTGCATGGTGAAGAACTTAATTGTATGCCAGATTCTGAAGCTGAAAGAGCAGCCCAAGCACTTGAAACCTTGTTATCGGGATAAATGGGTTTCTGGGAAAACTGACGTCACTCTCCCTGCCCCCCTCCCCCAGGCTGTAAAGCTCTTGTTTATGTGTCATTTGTCTCTCTGCTCTTTGTGTCTGCAAGAAGTTGTAATTCGCCTGGGGAAGATGGAATTAACTCAGGAGACCTTGGACGGCTGATGGCTGTTTGTTTCTTCCAAGGAATATGCATGCGGGGTTTGGAAAGAGAAGTCTGGAGAATAAACCTAGCTCAGGAGTTCTTTTGAATGAGCTCCGGGACATGGTGCCACACATGCATTGCTCTGGGGCACGTGTGTGTGTGTGTGTGTGTGTGTGTGTGTGTGTGGTTGAGGGTCACCATGGCTAGTAAGGCAACATCATTAGTGACTTAAAACAGGCCACAGAATTGTTGGATAGGACCCTTCTTTGGGCATGCACGGAGCTTGGAAGTTCAGCTCTGGCGTACACAACACAACCCGATCCCATCTGAATGAACACCACAAAGATTCTGTGTGACAAAACTCTCTCCATTGCGTCCACAGATGTTTATTTTTGACTGCTCAGTGTCCAGCACTATGGCTAGCCCTGGTCAACTATACGAAAAAAGAAAAGTAGTAGACATAGTTTCTGGCTTGTAAGCTTATGGTCTAGTTGGAGAGACCAGTTGTGGCTGCTGTGAAATAGAGAACTGTAGAAGATTCTTGGGATATCCCCACTCCCAACCACTGCCCGTGAGGTGGCTTGGGCTGCTATTAATATATACTTTTTGTTTAAGTTTATTTATTTACTTTGAGAGAGAGAGAGTGTGGGAAGGACAGAGAGAGAATCCCAAGCAGGCCCCGGACCGTCAGTGCAGAGCCCGATGCAGGGCTCGAACTCACGAACTGTGAGATCGTGACCTGAGTCGAAACCAAGAGTTGGACACTTAACCAACTGAGCTACCTGGGTGCCCCAGGATGTACTCTTTGAGGTCATATGACTTCTCCATGGTAACCAAGCAAGGCACAGCCCAGGCCTCAGGGGCGGTATCTTCTGGCCCTTTCATCGAGCTGTTTCTTTCAATGTTGTGTTTTGGGGTCCAGACTGTAAGTGCTGTCCCATAGAAAGAACGGCTCATTGGTTCTGGCTTGAACCAATCCCACAATGTGGGCAACGATGCTCTCCTCCACTGGCAGCCCGGTAATGGTCTTTCTCCCTAATGAAGGATCTTGCAGGGGCTAACTTTGCCTTACCTGGGGTTGGTCTGGGGCAGCTGTCTCAGGGCAACCGCCTCCAGGCGGGGAGAAGCTGGTCTCTGCATTCTGATCTTTGCTATCAAATGGCACCTAACCCTTGATTTCCCTTGAAGCTCCAGCCTCAGCCATATCTACCACCTCACACTAAAAGTAATATTATACCCCGACCCGGGAGAGCAAAGCCCCAGTATGTACCCATACCTTCACTGAGGATACAGCACAGACGAAAATTTACATGGCCCCAAATAGAACAAGTTATTGAATCTAAGTCAAGGGTATATGGGTGATCATTGTACCATTTTTCTAACTCTTCTAGGTGTTTGAGACTTTTCAAAAGAAAAAGGGTGGGGGGGGGACGACAATGTCTTCCCCTCCCCCCACCAAAGGCACACAGCCCTTCCTTCCCTCAGGGAGTTTACAATCTAATAATGGAGGCAGATTTCAATAGCCATGTGATTACCATTGTGGTCCATGCAGCACAAGGAGCTGCCGCCTACTGCAAGAATTCACTACAAGTGGACCTAATCCAGCCGTGAACGGGGGCGGTGGGTGACTGGAAAGGCTTCCTGAGGGCTTCAGCTAAGAAAGGGGTAGGTGTGAAGATGCTTGAGCTCTCACCCTGCTCCCGGGCCGGGGACATCTCATTTGTTAATTCACACGCTTCTGTTCTCATTCATTCATTCCTCCAACAGAGTTGGTTGGGCACCAACTCCGCCAGGCCCTGTGCCAGGTGCCGGGGATATGGTGGTGCCGAGGCACACAGGACCGTGCCCTCCGAAAGCTTCCAGATGACAGGCAGGAATCAGTCCCGTTTCCTTTCATTTCCTAAATCCTGGAAATGTTGAGTGGTAGCGGTGTTCTTATTACAAAACTGCATTACAGCTGAGCGATTTGTCTGTATAGCATAATGAGATTTTGATCTGCAGGCATGTGCATAGCATTTACCTTGTGGAGTCTCTGCTGTAAATTTTCTGTTAATTGCTGGCTTTGTTACCCAGCATGGCCCCTCCCTTTGTGTGCCGTAAGGGAACAAACCCGGAGCATTAGTCTGAGCAAAACTAATTAGGAAGATAAGCCCCCTGGAAAAAGGTATTCCAAAACTAAATAGGACTGATTTCTGGACTTGCCTGGGTTTCTGGATTATCAGAGCCGTGGTTTCGTATTAGCATGAACAATTGAGAAGGGCTTTTAAGTTGCATGTACTTTAAGACCCCATTGAAGAAAGAGAAAGAGAAGAGGAAGACAGAGAATACCATAGATAAGTATAACATGTTTCTTTCAGCGATCTCCAAATGCTTCCATCTGTATTTCATTTTTCCCAACAGCTTCCTGAACAAGTATTCCTGTTTTCTTCATTTATGGGTACGGGGAGACCAAGTGACTTAGTCCAAAGCGATATCGCTGGTCAGTGGACGAAACAATGAAACACATAACAGATGACACAGATTCGTTAAAAAAAAATAAATAAAAAATAAATAAATAAATAAATAAATAAAAGCCAAACCTGCCCTTTTCGTGATGTTTCTAAGCAATAAAAATCCTGCCATTACCCCAACTTCCCCCTCTTTTCACCGCCTCTCCCCCACCCCCGCCAGCACACTTGGGTCAGAGAAGAGTATACTTGGGTTCTTTGAAGACTCGGTGATGTTAAAAAGATCCTCAGCTTAAATCCCAGATAGCACAGCCACGGGTTACGTGTGGGTTTTCGTTCTTTTTCTTTCTTTCCATATTGCTTTAAATAAAAATCTTGGAGCCACCAGCCGTGTAATGATGGATTATTTTAAGTAACAACTTGGGGGGGGTGCAGAATAAATTAGAAACACAGACCCTTCCTCCTCAGTTTGGCAGGAGAAGGCTTTTGCTGCTGGGATTTGAAACCGTGGGTTTCTCCGCTGCTTGCACAGAGGAAGGAGGCCACATGCTCAGGAGGGTGAGAAATAATGTTATCCTCTTGTCCTGTGTCTCCCCATTAAAGGCAGCCATCTGCTGAATTGTGACACGTGCTCTCAGCTCGCCCTGGGCTTGGGTCATCCGTTCCACTCACTTACAGGGGACTGGGGAAGAGATTTGCAGGCCTCCGCGGGGACAGGACTCAGGGCTCCGGTTTCTCCGGCCAGGGCCCCCTCTGACCCCCCCCCCATTGAAGACCCCGGGGTGGGGGAGAGCGGGAGCAGAACCCCGCTTTGGCGACCCTGATGAGGTGTGAGGTAGTGTTGGGTTTCCTTTCCCAGCAGAGGCCCCCAGCTCTGAACACCGGCGCTGAGGCAGGAACTGGGTTTTTTCAGATCCACTTTAAATGAGACCAGATGGAGGCAGAGGCAAATTCAGGCTCCCTAGAGGACAGTTGGGCATTCATCCAGAGGCCTGTGAGTAAACCTTTTTTCTTTTTCTTTTTTCTTTTTCTTTTTCTTTTTTTTTTCTTTTTTTTCTTTTTTTTTAGCAGATTGGAGATAACAGTGACCAGAACACCTAGAAAACTCTGTTTAAAGAGCCTGGCTTGAAGTCTGGCTCTTGTGGGAGAGGCTGACCCACCCTGAGCAGGGGTCGCCCCTGGCCTGAGGTAGAGCTGTTGTACCTAGAATCTGGCCAGTTGGGTGGAGTGGCCCCGGGCCGGAGGCTTAGGCCCGAGTCCGAAGGGAGAGAAAGGGCAGAGGGAACCCCGGAGAGGAGGACCAGCCCCTCCATGGCTTCTGCGGCCTCAGTTGCCTTCCGTGGGTGGGAGCCGCCTTGCGGAGCCCATAGGGTTCCAGGTCGTGTTCCGTGACCCTCCTCCCTCTGGACTGTCATCAGGCCACAGGCCCCATGCCCTCACATTTCAGCTGCGTAAAGAAGTCTGTCACTGCAGTCAGCTTTTCCATTTGAGAGTAGCAGTCCTCTCGACAGGGCCCTGGAGCCCAGCACCACTCCTCGGCCACTAAATCACTCTGTGACTCTGGACAGGTCACTTCCTCTCTCTGAGTCTCTGTTTCCCCTTTTGTAACATGAGCGGGTCGGAGTGGGTCGGAGCCCGAAGGGCGTTACCAGCTCCAACCTTGTGTGGTTCTGAGTGTTTCCTGGTCCCGCAGCTGAATTTCTTTGAGGCTGTTGCCTGCTTCTGCTTCCGACCGAGGTGGTTAACTCCATCTCTTCCCTGCTTTGACTCCTTGAGCTGGGTGGAGAGACAGAGTCGTGGAAAAGGCAAGTCTGTGCTTTTAGCTCAGCAGGGTCTCTCTAAGTGGAATAGAAACAGCCCTTCAGACAGTCTGTCCAGGTGGGGGTGTGTTGCCATTGTCGTCTTATAGAGGTACGCGACAGCTGAATTTCTGTCTATTGAATCCCATCTTAAATGCGCTAGGAGAGCTGGCCATTTAATGGAATCCTGCTGCGAGTCCTTTTATAGAATGAAAAGCCACTCAGGAATTGATCTGGTGTATTAAAATCCAGAGTTTCATCTACTGGATTTGCCCCAAACGGACCTTTCTCCCTGTATGGTAAGCATGGTTTCCTTCGTGCCTCCCCAGGGCCCCCTAAGCTGCCCGGCCCCCCGTTCCCCCCACCGAAAGGCTTTTCTGGGGCTTTTGGGGGTTCTTATGGCTGATGATACAGTGGCGTCCGCTCTCTTGGTGGCGCTGGAGGCAGCAGATCGGGCTCTCGTCCACCTGATTGCTTCATCAAGTCTTTTAGCGGCATGTTTCCGGATATGTGACTCGACTGCTGGTTCACATGAATCCTTATAATAATAAGTTATACCGTATAATAATAAGTTATGTAGATATAATAGTAATGTTATAATAAGGATAATAATAGGGTTTTATTGTATTATTGCTAAAATAAGTGTTTACATACAATAAAACTGCCCGAAAGCTGAATACTTAACCGAATTTTCTAGTTATCTGTATGTTAAAGCACCTTTTTTGGTACTTGTAGCTGAAGATTTTGCCACAAAAGCCGAGGCTGCTTCCCTGCCTAGGAAAGTATCATGATAGAATCTTTTTTTAGAAAGGAATCTTTTTATTCTGGTTATAAAAGTAAACTATGCCCCGCCCCCCAAAGTAAAATATGCCTATTGTAGAAAATTTGGGAAACACAAAAGCAACAACCTGCATTCCCTCCACCCAAAAGTAACCATTGTCACCATTCTGGTGTAAAGTTGACCTTTGAATAAGGCAGGGGTTAAGGGCACTGACCCCCACACAGTCAAAACTCCACGTATAACTTTTGACTCCCCCAAAACTTAATAACTTAACAGCCTATTGCTGGCTGGAAGTCTTACTACTGATAACATAAATAGTAACATTAACACCTACTTTGTATGTTGTATGTATTATATACTTATATTCTTACAATAAAGTAAACTAGAGAAAAGAAAATGTTATTAAGAAAAACATAAGGGAGGGAAAATACATTTATAGGACTACCTTGTATTTATTGAAAAAAAAATCCACGTATAAGTGGACCCAGGCCCTTCAAACCTGTGTTGTTCAAGGGTCACCTGAATATTCTTCCAAGCTTTCAAAAATACATCTACACTCCCCGCCCCCCATGATTGGAATGATTGGGGTTTTGTTTTGTTATTTGCTTGATCATATTTGGTGATCATTTTTCCTTTTCCTTAAATATTCTTTTAAAATTTTTTTTATTAAACTTTTTTTAACGTTTATTTTTAAGAGACAGACAGGCAGAGAGCGGGGGAGGGGCAGAGAAAGAGGGAGACACAGAATTTGAAGCAGGTTCCAGGCTCTGGGCTGTCAGCACAGAGCCCAACATGGGGCTCAAACCCACGAACTGTGAGATCATGACCTGAGCCAAAGTCAGCTTAACTGCCTGAGCCATCCAGGCGCCCCTCTTTTTAATTTTTTTAATGTTTATTTATTTTTGAGAGGGAGAGAGAGAGACAGAGAGACAGAATCCGAAGTGGGCTCCAGGCTCTGAGCTGTCAGCGTAGAGCCTGACGCCGGGGCTCAAACCCACGAACTGGGAGAACATGAGCTGAGCCGAAATCGGACACTTAACCGACTGAGCCACCCAGGTGCTCCCTTGTCATTAAATATTCTTAGAAGATATTTGTATCAGCTGTTTAATATTCCGTTGTGCATCACTGAACTATTCACTGATTTTGATCATCCTGAAGGTTTGCAGGGTCTATGATGGAGAAAAGGGAAGGTGTGAGAGATCAGGCCCACGAGAGAATCCTATTTCAGTGTGTCTACGACGAGGTGCAGAGAGGCCAGAGGAGCAAGTTTAGGGAAAGGCCAGTGGTCGGCAATGAGTTCCAACCTTTTGGTTTTGGTCTCATCCTTCAGAACGTCAGCTACTGACTTAGCCACTGGGCTTGAAACAGGAGGCCAGAAACTCCATTGATATTGACGCACCTTCAGTTCCCAAGGGCCTCATATACTGTTTGCTTCCTATGCCACTAAGGTTGGAAGAGGGGCGGGGCGAGGGGGGGTGGGTAGAAGGGGCCAGGGGTTGCCCACTTGGGTGCTTATGGGACTCTTTATTTTCCGAATAACGGCAGTGAGAGGAAGATGCACAGCTGGAACCGCCATAACTCGTTCTTCGTAACACGAACCTTTGAATATTCAATTAAAAAATGAGATTGGTGTGTCCTCAGGGGAGGAGGCGGAAGAGAAAGAGAGCAGAGCTTCTGCCTGTGATATGAAATGTGGTATAACGTATTTCAAACCGCAGGTGACTGCAGATGGGGAGAAAACAGGAAATGGAATTGGGGAGGGGAGGGGAGGGGGGGCTCTCTCGATTCGAGGGAGCCTTCTTTCATTTTGCCTTTCTTTTAGCTCTTCTCAGACTCTGCATCCTAATTACCTCTGCTGCAAAGCTGAGTGAGAACTCTTTTCTTGTACTAAACATGTTTTTAATTTTTTTTTTTTTTTCAACGTTTTTATTTATTTTTGGGACAGAGAGAGACAGAGCATGAACGGGGGAGGGGCAGAGAGAGAGGGAGACACAGAATCGGAAACAGGCTCCAGGCTCCGAGCCATCAGCCCAGAGCCCGACGCGGGGCTCGAACTCACGGACCGCGAGATCATGACCTGGCTGAAGTCGGGCGCTTAACCGACTGCGCCACCCAGGCGCCCCCTAAACATGTTTTTAAATGACACAGGTAATGTGTGAATACATTCATGCTGTAAAAGGATCAAACAATACAGAAGCACATTGGATGTCCCCCTGAGGAAGCCCCCCCCTCCCCCGCATTTCCACCTTGCTCCCCTGAGGTAGCCACCGTTCCTGGTTTAGTGGGTTCCTTTCTGTCCCCTTTCTATGCACTCACATACATTTATGTGCAAATACACATATATAGGGCTTTTTTTTTTTTTGCATATATGGGCTCTTACTGTGCTTATTGTACTATGAGCTTCTTTTGGCTACAATATAAATATGTCTTGGAGATGTTTGCATCAGAATATACAGACCTACCACATTCTTCTCAATGGCTGCAGAATATTCCAGACTATGCATGTATCACAATTTAGTTCAATATTTTTCTTATCAGACATCTGTGGGTTTTCCCCCTTGTTTTTCAGTATCGTAATCGAGGCTGTGATGAATTTCCCTATACGTGGATCTTTGCACAGACACGTGAGTTTTCTGTAGAATAGATTCCCAGGGGAGGTTGCAGGGGGACAGGAGACGGGCCCTTTAACATTTTGTTGACTGTGATCCTTCTAGCCTCTCAGTTCAAGCCTTGAGCGTGACACCACCTGCTACTCAGGTGATAACTTGAGATGCTAGCGTTGGGTTGTCATTTCCATCTTCTCTGGTGCACATTGTAATCAAGACCTCAATTCATCAGGCCACCTTAAGGAGAAAGAGGAGAGAGATGAGATAGCAGAACTTTAGTGAGGGAGGGGGAAGAAACTTCCAGGGCTGTCCTGGGGTCAGCGTACATTCAGTCCGATGTCCTTTTTTACCTCCACATATTTAGCTCTGAACAATGAGAACTGACACTCATGATGACCTTGACATCTTATAAGATTCATCAAAACAAGAGTGAATAGTGCTCACTAGACAGGATTTCCTAAAGCAGGAAATATATATACAAATACATTTTTGAAGCTTTCTCGACTCTAAGCCTTGAGACAAAAAGTTTGCTGCTTAGGGGCGCCCGAATGGCTCAGTCGGTTGAGCGTCTGACTCTTGGTTTCTGCTCAGGTCATGATCTCATGCATGGTTCATGGGATTGAGCCCCGCATCTGGCTCTGAGCTGGCCGTGCGGAGCCTGCTTGGGATACTTTCTTTCTCTCTTTCTCTGGCCCTCCCCCACTTGTGCACATGCTCTCTTTCTCTCTCAAAATAAATAAATATTTTTAAACAGTTTGCTGCTTAAATCTTTAGCAGGAAGAACACAGTAACCAGCTCCCATGCTTCCAAGTCTCCATAACCTTCCAGTTAATTTTGGTGTATTGGATGGACACTGGGTAAAAAGATACAGAGAAAAATAGGGATTCTAAAGCCACCAGTGACCTTCATCAAATCCAGACTAATGGTTAGCTCTCTGTAATTCTTCCTCATTTCAACCTTGGTCTCTGGTGCTAGAAGACTGTTGGGTCACCTCCAACTTCTCCGATCATTTCCCCCGTCTTGGAAGACTCCTTTTCATCTTCCATTCCTTACTTATGGACATTTCCTGCATTCAGTGCCTAGCTCTTTTCTCCCTGTACTATCTCTTAAAGAACACATCCAATTTCCTCCCACTTCTAAATTCATCCCCCAGTGCTGAATTCTCCTTGAGCCTACAATCCCATATTGCTAAGTACTTGTTAGATTTCTTCTCTTGCATATCTCACCAGAAAATCAAAACGGCCTTATTGTCCTTACCATATAAAATGTTTTTACAAATCCAGAAGACAGAGACAGACACCTATGTTCTAAAAAATGGGCGAGGACTTGAATAGGCAACTCACATACATGTGTGCATATGCACAATGCGTGTATAGATACACAATACAGAATACACAATAAAAGGAATGTTCCCCTTCATGTGCAAACTAAATGTTGTGATACCAGTTTTCAATGATTCCATTCCCAGTGGTTAAAAAGCCTCAGAAACTTGGTGTTGGTCTAAGTGTGGGCAAACAGACACTATTGCATATTGGTGGCCGAAGTAGACCTTTGTACTATTTATTCTCTGTTGAGTGATTCCTCAGCGTGTACTGAAGTCTTTCTTTTTCAAAAAATTTTTGTAATGATTATTTACTTTTGAGAGAGAGAAAGACAGAACCTGAGGGGAGGAGGGGTAGAGAGAGAGAGGGAGACACAGAATCGGAAGCAGGCTCCAGGCTATGAGCCGTCAGCACAGAGCTCAACTCGGGGCTCAAACCCACGACCTGTGAGATCATGACCTGAGCCGAAGTCGGATGCTTAACGGACTGAGCCACCCAGGTGCCCCTGTACTGAAGTCTTTGAAATGTGTGTGCCTTTGGACCCAGCAGGCTTCAATTCTAGGGGTTCAACTTAAGGAAGTAATCAAAGATCTATGCACACCTGTAAGAATGAGAATTATTGTTCATACTGTTTAAAACTTGGAAACACGCTAAACGTCTAGCAGTGGAAGATTACTTAAGAAAATATGGTGAATTCCTACAATGGAATGCTATGTGGCCAACACAAATAGTGTTTTAGAAGTATGCTTCATTTCTCAAGAAAAGGTCCATACTATATTATGCGCCAGGTTTTGTAAAGGAGCATACAGAATTATCCCTATTTTGTAAGAAACAAAAGGTATACAGACCGGAGGGAAACGTATGTAAATATTAACAGTGGTTATCTCTGGAGGGTGCTGTTATGGGTGACTGTTGTTTTCTCCTTTACAATTTTCCCTATGTTCTACAATTTCTACAGTGCACCTTGCGTACTTCTTAGAAAATAAAAAGCCCGATAGCACGTAATTTTTTCGTAATAGCTTATCTAAAACCAGAATCCTCAACTTCCCCACTAAGCGAGCACCGTTTCCTGGCTTCTCTCTTTTCTGTCCGTGGTGCCATCACCAATCCAAGCTCCCAGGCTTAGAACCGTGCAGCCTTAGAGCTCTGATTGTCCCTTCACCCTCTCTTCACCAATCGCTGATTGAGCGATCGCCCTTCTTTAGGACATCTCTCAAGTTTGTTCCTCCCTCCTGAGTCCCAAGTCAGATCGGCTCAGTTCAAGCAGCACGTATTGGCACGGTGCCTGGATGCCTCTCTGCCAGGTCCGTGTTAGTGGAGTCCTCTGTCTTCTTGCCTCTGCTCGCTCTCTCCAGTCAGTCAGTCAAACACCCCGCAGCTGGAATGATCTTTCGAAAACCTGTATCATGGCTCTCCCCGCTCAAGACACTCAAAGGGCCCCCACACCCCGTTGCCTAGGGAATAAAGCCCATACACGCTTCCTTCTACTCTTTACGGCACTGTGCTAGGTGGGAGGTAACGGGGAAGGGGCACATGGGAGGTTCTTGTGAGTTGTTGTTGACAATGACGTAAGTCTTTAAGCATCAGGTGTGGGGCTCGCCCCATCTCTCCACTGCGTTCAGTTTGAAAAGTCCCTTTCCTCTCCTTTTGGCCCTTGGACCAGAGGCCAGAGTTGCACGGTGCTGAATTTGGACACAGGAAGAGGCGGCCAGGGGCGATAAAATACGGCTCAGGAAACCTCAGCTCTGAGTCTGTCCCAATTTCCGATACCCGCTATGGAGGAGGATCCATCGAGAAAGCATATTGGCCCTTAAGTCTCTCTCCCCTGCAGTGGTGAGGACCGAGAGCAAACGGTGGGAAACTTCCACCTTCGTTCGTCTGCTTTAAGAAAAAGGAGAAAAGGGGTGGAGGGTGAGGGGAAGCAGAAAGGGGTGTGTGTAGAACAAGCCCCGAGTGGTGTGGGCCACGCATGAAACCCAGCTGTTTACAGGCGCCCCTCTGGGGTCCAGAATACGCCAACTCAGACTGTGGCATATGGCTGTGTCAGGAATACTCCACCGGGAGTGTGGGGGGAGGGGTGAGACGCGTGAGGGTAATGAACTTGCCAGATGGCGCTCCCGGCCCTGATCCTGTCTCTCGCTCTTGGAAGACCTGCTGAGGGGGCCCAGCCCATCCCTCTCCGTGGGACCTAGGCTCAAAGCAGGTGCAGTCGACCACGAAGACGGCCTGCTAGAACAAACAGCCCGGGATGCCGGTGCGGGCCTCCTGGCACTAACCATGCCCTTCTTGGACTGCTCTTGGCGCCTTTCCGGTTTACCGAAATCTTGGTGTAAAACCATTAACGATAGGAAGCTCTGGGACTAGCAGGTGAAGGAAGCAAAGGCCCTCTGCTTTGCGGGGCTGCGACTGGCCTGGCCGACCCCTGTGGAGACCAGGGGTCCCGCGGAAGCCTGGAGGCCGCTCTCTCTGGCTGGGGGGAGACACAGGCGTTCCATGGCATCGCGTGTTATTTGGGGGAGTCCGAGTACATGGGTGATCTCACAGTGCAAGAAAAACAGGTGCTGCTGTTGACGGAGTGCCCACCACAGGCCAGGCACCGTGTTCCGTGCTTGAGGAACATTATCCTGTGTCCTCCTCGCCCCTGTCCTATGAGCTAGGAACTACGCGTCCCCAATTTTACAGGTGGCGAGGCTCTGAGAAGTTAAGTAACTTGTCCGAGGTCAGAAGGTGAAGGAGGCAGGATTCTCACACAGAGACCTGTCAGAGGTCAAAGCCTAGTCTCTTAACCTCTACACCGAGCCACCTTTGTGGTTGCCCAAAATGCCCTCGAGACAGGACTAACTGCTTTTTTGAAGTCCTGTTGTAATGTTCGCTGAGCACAGAGGTATGGACCAGGCGTTGTGCTTAAAGCTCGTTGTACGTTGTGGCACATTCGAGACCCCCTGTCTCCTAGGACAGACGTGGGAGGAAACGGGGTCTCCGAGAGGTTACCCAGCTTGTAAGTGGTGGAGGCAAGAGTTAACCCAAGTCCGTGAACCCCTGAACCCGCCCTCCCACCTGTCGTGAGCCCCCTCTGCAGTTTGCTGTGTCTGGAACTAGGGTGACATTCATCGCGGAGCCTGGAGATGCCCGTACCTAAGAATCTGTGATTTCTTTCTTTGTTTTTTTTTTTTTTTTTTTAAATATTTATTTCTTTTTGAGAGCTCAAGCGGGGGAGGGGCAGAGAGAGGGGGGCAGAGGATCTGAAGCGGGCTCTGCACTGACAGAGGCTCGAACTCACAATCCGCGAGATCATGACCTGAGCTGAAGTCGGGCGCCCATCCGACTGAGCCACCCAGGTGCCCCGAGAATCTGTGATTTCTAAGCCGGTGGTGATTTCTAAGCCATTCTGCTTTGGAGCCGGGAGTAGCTATGGGAAGATAAGACACACGGGGCCTGGGCGTGCGTTACTTCCTCGCTCGGAGATCGTTTGGATGAGAAGTGAGACCCAGGTTGCTTTTAAGCACGTTTTCCTTTTCTCCCCTCCCTCCCCTTCCAAATTAGGGTGAAGGCTGCCGAACTGTCCCCCTGGCTGGACATGTGGGGTTTGACAGCTTGCCCGACCAGCTGGTGAATAAGTCAGTCAGCCAGGGTTTCTGCTTCAACATCCTGTGCGTGGGTGAGTATTTCCATAGCAGGAAATTCTATTACAGAATATGGATCCTTAATGGCTGGATGTGGCTTTGCAGGTAATTAGGTTAAATACTGAGCCATTCTGATCTATTTGCAAAAGTGCTTTCCCCGCTTCTTCCTCTTTTATCCCTCTGTTTGCTTTTGTAAGCAGCCGGCTTGTGATTATATTTTTCCCTGGCCAGACCAGAAGGTGTGGCCGTACCCTGGGGGAAACTGAGCGCTGTGACACCCTGTGGAAATGTGGTCAGGGTGCTGGCTGGCTCAGCTACGGCTGTCAAGTTCCTTTGGACTGAGAAAACCGGAGCCGGACAGAATTTGGGTGGCGGGGGAGGTAGTGGCTGTGGAAGGGTGCCTGCCCACCAGCTGTGGGCAGTGGGTTGGGGCTGTCTGTTCCTCTGCAGCCCTGTTGTGCTTGCCACAGTTGGAGCTCAAGTTCAGGGACCATACAGCCGAGCGCCAAGTTCTTTTATTCTCTTATAGCCTGTCTCCACCTGGACCTCTAGTCTCCAGCGCGGGGACCATGTCTTCTTAGTCACTTCGAATGTGCCAATCACAGCACAAAGAGAGCTCAGGAATGTTTCTGAAATGAATGAATGAATGAGTTAAGCCCACAGGAAACACTCGTTATCCCTGTCAAACACTTCAGCATGGTAGCAATTTGAGTCCTTACCAGGTGGAGACCCAGACATTTGGGGAGGATTAGAGAGTCAGGGGAGGCAGCCCAGAATAAGTGGCGGAGCCAGGACAAAGCCCCAGGTCTGGCCCACCCCCTTGGCCCCTCCCACTGTTTCTCGAACTGCGGGGGGGGGGCAACATCCTTTGAGAATACAAAGGCACTTTGGAGCCGAGGAGCGACAGCTCCTTGACAGTCTCTCAGAATCTCTCCTTAAGACCGTAAAAAAATCCCAAATTTGCAAACACAATCACAGCATATAATTTTCACTCCACAGTGCAGTAAAGTGTACCTGCGTATTTTCAGCGACCTACTTCTAAACCTTAACGATTGTGTAAATACCATAATAGAGTCCGTTTTCCCGCTGGTTGGTACACTCACACGCTTTGGCTAATTGCTCTTCCTTATTTTTGTAGAGAGTGTATGGGGAACTCATTCTCATTGAGGCTCTGAACCACTGCTGAATTGGATATTTTACTCTTTTAATGTAGTCTAAAGTTCTGTTTTCTTTCTTGTTTTTTATTATTTATTTTGAGAGAGAGCGAGAGAGCACATGAGCACGAGTGGGGTGGGAGCAGAGAGAGAGAGAGAGAGAGAGAGAGAGAGAGAGAGAATATTCCAAGCAGGCTCCCTGCTGTCAGTGCAAAGCCCGATGCGATGCGGGGCTCGATCTCATGAACCGTGAGACCATGACCTGAGCCAACATCAAGAGTCAAACGCTAAACCCACTGAGCCACCCAGGCGCCCCTAAAGTTCTGTTTTCTCTCTAAGCTCATTCATTTTCTAGGACTTGTTATTTTTCTTCTCCTCTACCCTTAGCACCCTTTGTCAGATCGTTTTCTGTAGGTGAGTAACTGCCAGCTGGAAGATGAAGAGAGAAGAAGGCCACTTCTCAGTATGGACGACAGGCAGTCAGCTAGGCTCACTCACTAGCCGAATGACTCACTCCCACACATCAGCTTGGGAGCCCGTGAGATGGAAATGTGTGCTTTACAGAATGACGCGTCACGGGCCTTTAGAGTCCGCAGCGAGGCCATTAATTCTTCAAATGCCAGAAGCCTGCTCGTGGTTATGATGAGATGCTGTTAGGAGAAGGACACAAAATCAACAGAAGCCACGGTGATCAACCACAAGGTGCTATCACATCCAATATTAGCACTGCCAAACCTCTCCAGTCTTTGGCTATTGGCCAACTTATTTCGCATAATACTTGATTACTGAAAGATTTCCGCACAAACATATTGGATTCCCTTGGCATTCCTCCCAGAGCTCCGTATGACCTGTACTGAAGTTGAGGAGATGACAGGTGAAATGACAGGCCCGCCCTCAGCAGCCTTTCAACCGAGTGCAGTTGGGTGGGTGAGTAAAGCTTCAGGAGGGAGGCCATGTAAATCAGAACGGCTCTCCGAGGGCGAGAGGTGAAGGGCAATGGGATCCGGGGACCACGGGCTCCCCTAGGGCCCAGAGGAGGAGGCAGCCGAGCTCCAGGCAGTGGGTGGGAGAAATAGTAAACCCCTGTCCTCCAGTTCCCACCCAGGTGCTGGACGGCTACAGCTGCTTCCGCGTGCACCTGCTGGGGAACCGCCCCAGACCCTTCAGGAGGGGGAAGAGTCGGAAAGAGACCCTCGCCCCCGCAGACCCACCTCCTCTCTTTCTTTCCCTGCTTGCCAGGTCTCGGAAATAGCCCTATGAGCCCCTCTCTTGGTGCCGCAGGCGCCTGCCTTGAAAGCCCCCAACCTGGCCTGGGTTAAGTTCATTCCCCATCCCTGATCCCAAACAGCCTGTGATTCATGCATCCTGCTCTCTGTCTGTGTTCACAACCCCGTCATTGCTCAGAGAACCCACAATTTGGGCCAAGGTCACGTGTGGTTTAGAATGGCTCTAAGGCTGCAATCTCAGCTCAGCCATGGGGCCGGGTACTGTCACTGACTTGGTGAAGGGTCCGAAGCTTGACTGCCGAAGGTGACCTTTTCTCTCGCGGGACTTTCCGTGGCCATTCTGTCATGCTTACCGCCTGTGCATAACTATCAGGTTTACTCCCTTAATGACTGTTATAAAATGATTCTGTTAAGGCATAGACTGTATGTCCCCAAAGGATTTTCTCTTCTTTTTTCATAGGGCATTTTTAAAAACGTTTATCTATTGGGGCGCCTGGGTGGCTCAGTCGGTTAAGCGTCCGACTTTGGCTCAGGTCATGATCTCAACGGTTCGTGGTTCTGAGCCCTGCTCAGGCTCTGTGTTGACAGGGCAGAGCTTGCTTCGGATCCTCTATTTCTCTCTCTGCCCCTCCCCTGCTTACGCTCTCTTCTTTCTCTCTCAAAAAATAAGTAAACATTTTTTGAAAAGTTTACTTACTTATTTTTGAGGGGTGGAGGGGCAGAGAGAGGCAGACAGAGAATCCCAAGCAGGCTCTGCGCTGTCAGTACAGAGCCCGACGCGGGACTGGAACCCACAAACCGTGAGATCATGACCTGAGCTGAAGTGGGATGCTTAACCGACTGAGCCACCCAGGCGCCCC